TAATTCCAAAACAAAGCCCTCAGGATGAAACTATGGTTGGCATTCAAGATGAACGAGTACTGCAATTAGGGAGGAAAGGTTAGGTATGTAAGGAATTCTATCTGTATCATTTGATCCATGGGAATAGACCGGAGGTGGGGGGGGGGGGAATTAAAACAGAGAACCAAACATGAGGCTGAAATGGCTGACTAGAAGTCAAAATATACTTTAAAATATGTTACAAAATCAGCAGCAACAGTTAGGATTTGAAGAACCAGTTGACGACCATTAGGACCATCCTGTTTGTCCTAGTATCTATCAGCCTGATACCGTGGAACATATTCTGTTTTACAACAATAACAAACTTCAGTCAAATGTAGTGAAAATAGGCTGGGCCTGCTGGCTTACCTCTGTAGTCCCAGCACTGTGGGAGGCAGAGGCAGTGGCTTGCTTGAGCCTGGGAATTTGAGACTAGTCTGGGCAACATGGTAAAACCCTGTCTCTAAAAAAAAATACAAAAACTTTAGCCGGGTGTGATGGTGCACCCTTGTAGTTTCAGCTACTAGGAAGACTGAGGTGGGAAGACTGCTTGAGGCAGAGGCTGCAGTGAGCTGAGATTGTGTCACTGCGCTCTAGCCTGGGTGACAGAGGAGAGATCCTGTCTCAAAAAAAAAAAAAAAAAAAAAAAACCAAAAAAGTAGTGAAAATAGTGTGCTTTAGTCACTGACACTAGAGAAGAAAACAAGAATATCCACTTCAAGACTTACTGATGCATCTGGTTATGTGTTCCAATTAATTATATAAATTTTATGTAACTTGGTTTGTAAAAACTTTAAGTATCACTTCTGAATTACGTTGCGTAATACAGAAATTAATATTAAACCGTAAGTGTTTAACATAGTTTTAAATTTTTTTTTGCTGAAGACCCCTTAAAAGAATTCTGAGAAACTATGTACTTCCTTTTAAATCAACATTTAAAAGTTACCTTTAAATAATTGCAAAGGATATAACTTCCAGCGTATTGTAAATACCAACATTTTAGCATTTGTTGTTGTTGTTATATGAATGTTCCTTAGAAAACCTCTGTTCCTGTTTAATGGATTCAAAATTATCTTTTCTCCCTCTGAGAATTGCATTGTATGTGTTTCTCCCAGTGCCTATTTTTCTCTACGTGTTTTATAGTCTCTTATTTGCATGAGACTTCCCCATCAATTTCTAGTTATCCAGCGATACTCAGTCTTACTCAGACTAAGGACAAGCTGCCTGGAGGCTTTGAGCATACAGATGGGCTTGCTATTTTTGAATTATACAGTAATCTAGGTGGAATCTCTGACGTCATTTTTTTTGGATCTTTCCTCGTAAGCTGGTAAAATTCACTCAAGACTCTTCCAATCTCCTGCAGGAAGAGTAAGGTATGTCTGCTAGCATGCTGGGAACCAAATGAAGAGAGGGCTGGCGAAATCTCCCTTCATCATTTAGTAAGCACATAGTCATCCAATCCCCATGCTTTGGGAAAGATATCCATGTCCTAGACATAGATTAGGGTTTCCCAGTCCAGAAATATTTATTTTCCCCTCTCTAGATAACAAACTTACAGTCTACTGCCAGGATAGGAATGGAGCAGTTACCCGCTGAGTAAGAGAATAGATTTAGAGAAATAACAGCTTTTCAAACAGGCCTTTTTATTTAAACCCCTTCATCCCCTGAGGCAGCTCATATTGCCAATTCCTGAGAATTGAGGATTCTATGACATAAATCAGGTTGGCTTTCATTTCCCTACTGCTGACTGATGCTTTAGCCTTTTTGGGTCTACTAAGTTCATGGTCACTTCTCCACCTGCTTTCCAGCTTTCAAAATGTTGCTGACATTGTCTCCTTCCTCTCTATTGTCCCCACCCTTATGTATCCATGCTTTAAAAAAAAAGTTCCTTTATTATAGTTTTAGTAGACTTCCAGGAGATATCAAAAATCTGTCACCTTAATCTGAAACCCACATAGTACTGTTAATAAGAGGAGTTTCAACCTGACAAAGCCTTCAGAAACTGAAGATATATTGGTACATTTAACCAGTTGCATGTTATCATCTTACAAGAGGAAACAAAAAGGAAAAAGAAACTGTATCTTCTTTGGTTAATTTTAAACCGGTAATAAAAAGTACACTCTGCTGGAGGGCTTAAAACTTGGAATTAGTACTTTTTCAGCTACTAAAATCTTGGACAAACTTAATGGAATGATCTATGTTCACAGCATCGTACACTCATTGCATCATGTTAAATGATGAGATCTATTTAAAAATAAGCAAAGTGTTTCAGAGTAGGTAACTGTAAAGTTTACACTGATAATCCCAAACTGTAAAGTGACATTTTGAAAAAATATCACCTCTTCACTGACTATTCTTCAGACTGCAGCATTATTCCAATTTGATAATGTTCTTCTTGACTGTCACTGCTTGTCTTAATTAATCCTGGCACTTCTGCTCCATCACTGTTTCTTTTTTTTCTTTTGTTTGTTTTTCTAGAGATGGGGTTTTTGCCATATTGACCAAGCTAGTCTTGAAATCCTGAGTGCAGGCAATCCTCCTGCTGCGGCCTCCCAAAGTGCTGGGATTACAGGCATTAAAAACAATTAAAAAAATTTTTTTTTGAGATGGAGTCTCACTCTGTCACCCAGGCTGGAGTGTAGTGGCGCAGTTTTGGCTCACTGCAAACTCTGCCTCCATGTTCAAGCAATTCTTCTACCTCAGCCTCCTGAGTAGCTGGGCTTACAGGCACGTGCCACCATGCCTGGCTAACTTTTATATTTTTAGTACAGACAGGATTTCACCATGTTGGCCAGGCTGGTCTTGAACTCCTGACTTCAAGCGATCCACCTTGGCCTCCCAAAGTGCTGGGTTTTTAGGCGTGAGCCACTACACACAGCCTGTTTGTTTTAAGACAGGGTCTCGCTCAGTTGCCCAGGCTGGAGTGCAGTGGTACGATCATGACAAATGTGGCCTCATACTCCTGGGCTCAAGTGATCCTCCCACCTCAGTCTAATGAGTAGCTAGGACTACAGGCAAATGCCACCATAACTAGCTAAATTTTTTATTTTTTATAGAGACAAGGGTCTCCCTATGTTGCCCTGGCTGGACTTGAACTCTTAGGCTCAAGCAATCCTCCCACCTTGGCCTTCTAAAATGCTGGGATTACAGGTGTGAGCCAACATGCCCGGCCACATTTCTCAGTTGTGATATGAGAAGGATTTGGCTTTTCTCTCTTCTAAAAGGTAAATCTATCAATAATATGCAGTTGTATGTAATCATTCTTTCATTTAACAGTTATGTATTGAGTATGGCAGGTCCCATTCTAGGCATTAGGAATAAAGAAAGGAAAAAAAAACAAGCCCCGGCTCTCACACAGCCTGCATTCTAGTGGGGATGAAAGATAATAAACAATAAAGATGGAGCTGTGCATTATAAAGAAAATCAAGCCTATGGGTATATAGAGTAACAGAGTGATGTGGGGACGTGTTAGTTATATAAGGTGAGCAGAGGTTTCTATTAAAAGGGGACATATGAACAGAGACATAAGGATATTTGTGGCATGTGTATCCTAAAGAGAATATAACAAACATAAAGGTCCTAAAGAAGGAACATGCTTGGCCTGCTGAAGAAAAGTGCAGAGAGACCAGTGGTGTGGGAAGAGAGTAAGCTTTGTTTCTTACCAAATGTTTACAATTTTTGCCATGGTTTACTCTTCGCAAGATTTAAATTCTTTAAAAGCCTTTAGATTTGAACAGATTAAGAGATTCTAACTTATCAGAAAGGCTGAGATTGTTCCAAGTCTAGGGGTAAGTGGGAGTGTTGCGGAATAAGGTAATAATTTGCTGTAATAAGTATTTTGGCTGAATATAGGCTTATAAACAATCTAAATTACACATATATTACCTAGTTTCGAGGAAGAGAAGGTGGTATAGTTTGAAGATTTAAGACTCAGATCTGGTTTTGAGTCTTGGCTCTACACACTTGCTAGAAGTAATACTGAGTCAGAGTTGTAGGTGTTAGGGCATATATACCCTTTTACTCTTTCATTCTAATTTTATAATGTAAAAGTAGCACAGTGGTTATGGGGAAAAGAATACTTTGGGAGCCAGAAATCTTGAGTTAAACACCTTTGCTGTCACTTATTAAATGTGTGCCCTTAGGCAAGGCACTTAAAAGCCTCAATTTCCTTATTTGTAAAAAGAAAATAAAAGGATCTACTTCATAACATTATAAAGATTAAATGATATAATAGTCTATGCAAGTGAAAGCCATTTGCAAAAACAAAATAATTAAGATCATGCCTATTTTTAAACTTCTCACAGAGCTTTCAAATTTATATTTTGCTGAGTTTATAATTTCATCTAAGTGCTTTCAAATTTATTTAATTTTACTTTTTAATTTACCGATTCATTTACATTCGAGTTCCATGCAAAATTTAAAATTTTTCCTTCAAAGTCAGTTCCCCATATTAGCTTATGATAAACTTTATAAAATAACTCTATAAATTGCATAGCAAAATTCAACAGATATGAACTCACTTTGAAATCCTTAAAAAGCATCAGAATGTAGATTTTTCACTTTATTAACTGACCATTTTGCAACAAAAAATATGGGCATTCAGAGAAAATGATTTTAAAAAGTAACTAATTAATGGTTGACTAATTAACTGTTTTGTTTACTTCAACAACCATTAACAACTTTTTAGCAGGTTTTTGCCATTTCTGTCTTCTGAACCTTTATTGCTTCGCTAAATCACTGAGTGCTGAACTAAATTTGCAGTCATGTATTTATCATCAAATACTTGATACATGTTCTGAAGGCTGCACTAGACAGAGATATTTATTTTTTAGTATCATATTATTTACTAGCCATTAGTTAGCATCCTTACTCCTTGACAGTAATTTAAAATGCAATTCAAAAGAATAGCAGCCAAAACCTTTAAAACATCCTCAATGGTTTTCAAAAATAATTTACAAGACATTTAACAGAATGGAACTTACTCCATGCCCTGTGCAGTCTGTCGTGCAATATCTATAAGTTTGATCATCTCAAATTTGGTCTCAATGATATGGAGATGGTGATACAAGCTGGAGCCCTCACACCACTGGGTAACAATAGCCAGTTGTGGCTTTGTGGAATAGCCCATGAAGAGTAGGATATTCACGTGTCGTGTTTTCCTGTACAAAGAAATGTGACAGTAAATGTTGAATGTCGACAAATTTTAGCAATTCTTATAAAGAGAACCAAAGTAGTCTACCTATTGGTAAAATGTTGTCACAAAAAGATTTTTTTTTCTCTCTCTTAGATGGCGTCCCGCTGTCGCCAAGCTGGAGTGCAGTGGCGCCATCTCAGCTCACTGCAACCTCTGCCTCCTGGGTTCAAGTGATTCTCCTGCCTCAGCCTCCTGAGTTGCTGGGATTACAGGTGCCTGCCACCACGCCTGGCTACTTTTTGTATTTTTGGTAGAGACGGGGTTTCACCATGTTAGCCAGGATGGTCTTGATCTCCTGACCTTGTGATCTGCCGCCTTGACCTCCCAAAGTGCTGAGATTACAGGCGTGAGCCACTGCACCTGGCCAGTATTTTTTTTTTTTAAAGCAACAAAAGGATAAATTTAGAAGAGACTAGGAATTGCCAAGTCTAACCTCCTACCTTATGCAGAAATATCTTTTTACATATGTCTGATAGGCAACTAGAGGTTGCTTAAATACCTTTAATGATGGGAAGTTCATCACTGAGTATGCAGCTGACTCCCATATCTTTATGTAAGTTCTGGTATTAGAAAGTTTCCAAATGTTGAGACAAAATCATTCTCCTACAACTTCCACCTCTGGCTTGCTTCCTGGGTCTGCTCTCTGGAATAACTTTTTTCCTGCACTCTGGAATAACTTTGCACTCTCTTGAACAAAACAGACTTCTCTGAACTAAATATCCTCAGCTCTGTTGATTATTTTTCCCCGTAACACCTACAGAATCTTCCCTATTTAGGTGGTCCTCGCTGGACATACTCTAGTTTGTTAATGTTTCCAAAGTTCCCGAGCCCAGGACTAAATACAATCTCTAAATGGACTCTGATAAGCTTAAAAACTGGAGAGTATTCTTTTCATAAGTAGAACTTTTACTTTACATTATAAGTATATTATACTTCCATTAATTCAGTCTAGGATTAAGTATTCTATCATCTGTACCATATAACATTGCATACTACTTAAAAGAATGTGGTTACAGACGAAAATATACTCAGACATACTCTGTTTCTACAAATTTATTTCATTTTGAGTAAACTGTAAAGCTAATAGGGGCTACCACTGGGAACCAGGAGCTAATAAAAATAACTTCTTTCTCTGGAAAACAGTAATTCACACAAGCTCACCTGAGTACTCCTACTTCATTTTTGAAGGCTTGTAACTGCTGAGGTGTAGGTGCTGTCACATTCAACATTTTCACTGCCACGTCACCTAAAAGACAATTGTTATTCCAAGTGTCATTTCAATTTTTAAAATGCAAAAGTATAAAACGTTCTTGGATATTTTCACTAATTATCATAGTCCTAACTCCATACCATTATTAAATCATAAATAACTTATACTTTAACGATCTAAACTCTATTAATTTTCTAAGGCTAAAAACTCAACTAACAATGATATTCCTGTACTAGAGTATTCCAAAATGTGAATCCAAAAAATAGCTAACCTTGTTTGTTCCAAGGAAATTCAGTGAAATAGATTAAATACCCATGGTATTTTCCAAATCATTTGATAATATTAAATTATATTTACTAGGCTTAATGCTTCTTTATTAACTGAAACTAATGTTGAAACTACAAGTAACAGGCCCTATGGAGCTTTGCTTAAAAGTAGAAAACTCATATGAAACTTTTTTATCAGAGTAGTTAAATTTTTTTCAAATTTATGGATTACTTAGGATGCTTTGGATTAGGAAAATGACTAAAATTGTCACTGAAATTAAAAAAAACTTTATGTGAAACAGCTGTAACTCTCAACATTGTCAGTAGGTGTTTAAATTGGTACAACTACTTTGTAACACTGTTGGCAGCATTACTAAAAGTGGACATATGAATATCCTGTGGTCTCACAATTCTCTTCTAGGTACATACCCAGCAATGGACACATGTTTACCAAAAGATATATACTAAAAATGTTTACAGCACCAGCATCCAGAAAAGCCCCAAACTGGAAAGGATCCAATTGCAATAGATGAAATAAGAAATCATGTTATAGTCACACAATGAAATACTATAAAGAGAATGAATGACCTCCAATTACACACAATATAGGTGAATCTTATAAACACTGTTGAGTGAAAGGGACCAACGCAGAGAGTACACAACTATTCGATTCCTGTTGCAATCACAATGGTGGTTACCCTTGGTAGAGGAGTGATTGGCTGGAAGAGGACATGGGGGATGTTTCTAGAGTGCTAGTAATGTTCTGCCTATTTTATTTTTTTAGAGATAGAGTCTTGCTCTGTCACCCAGGCTGGACGGAGTACAATAGTGTGATCATGGCTCACTGCAGTCACGGGCTCAAGTGATTCTCCCACCCCAGCCTCTTCAGTAGCTGGGACTACAGGCATGTGCCGCCGTGCCTGGCTAGTTTATGTGCACTTTTATGCACAGGCTGAGTATCCCTTATCTGAAATGCTTGGGACCAGAAGTGTCTCAAATTTCAAATTTTTTCTGATTTTGGAATCTTTTGCTTATACTTACCAGTTTAGCATCCTTAATTCATATCTGAAATCCTCCAGAAGCATTTCCTTTGAGCATTTCCTTTAAGGATTTTGGAGCATTTTGGGTTTTGGATTTTGGATTAAAGACACTCAGCCTGGCCAGGCGTGGTGGCTCATGCCTGTAATCCCAGTACTTTGGAAGGTCGAGGTAGGTGGATCACCTGAGGTCAAGAGTTTGAGAGCAGCCTGGCCAATATGGCAAAACCTCATCTCTTCTAAAAATGCAAAAATTAGCCAGGCATGATTGTGCGTGCCTGTAATCCCAGCTACTTGGGAAGCTGAGGTAGGAGAACTACTTGAACCTGGGAGGCAGGGGTTGCAGTGCACTGAGATCATGCTACTGCACTCCAGCCTGGGTGATAGAGTGAATGGAAGAAAGAAAAAGAGAGAGAGAGAGACAGAGAGAAAGAGAGAGGGGAAGAGAGGGAGGGAAGGAAAGAAACTTAACCTGTATATATATTAAATTTTAATAAGTTAAATCAACACTGATTTTTCTGAGTAATACAGTGCTTATTCTATTGTTTGTATACTAAAATACTGCACAGCACTAAAATGTTTAAAAACATTTTGAAGGTATAAAAAAATTCCCTTAAAAGTGACATTATACTAATGTATACCTTATTAGGCTTTTACCTGAATGCAGTGTGAATATTTATGAGTATCTGTAAAAAGACAGCTTAAGAAGACACATACTAAAATACTGTCATATAAAAAATTATGTTATATATTTCCATGAGCTCCATAATATAGCATATACATACTGCTTTGTATAATTTCATATACCAAAGATACCTTTCTATATCAATAAATAGCCCTAATGCCATTTTAACTCCTACATAATCATATATAAAGGTATCAATTTATCCAATTCTCTATTAGTTGGAAGCATGTTCATTTTTATTTTTCACTAATATTAAATCTTTGATGAAAATATGTTAATTACTCTAAATATAATCCAATTTAAAAAGCTTTTGTGTCCAACTGAGAAGCAAATAATGATTTCTATTTTTTGAATTTGCAATTCTTTGTTAACTAGTGAGGCTGAACATTTTATATATGTTTACTGGCCACTTATATTTCTTCCTTTAGTAAGTACATTTGTTGTTGTTGTTGAGACAGAATCTCACTCTGCTGCCAGGCTGGAGTGCAGTGGTGCGATCTTGGCTCACTGCAACCTGTGCTTCCCAGGTTCAAGTGATTCTCCTGCCTCAGCCTCCCAAGTAGCTGGGACTATAGATGCTTGATACCATGACCAGCTAATTTTTGTATTTTTATTAGAGATGGGGCTTCACCATGTTGCCCAGGCCGGTCTCGAACTCCTGACCTCAGGTGATCTGCCCACCTCAGCCTCCCAAAGTGCTGGGATTACAGGTGTGAGTCACTGTGCCTGGCCAGGAGGTACACTTTTAATATGTTTACTTGTGATAATACAAATAATCAGCTGAAAGACTTCTAAAAGAAAAAAAAAATCTTTTTGAGGACTAGCTAACCGGAAGGATTTCCTTTTTAAAAATTATTACTGTAATATAAAAATAGGAGTCCTGATTGCTGTGAAGTTTTTATTTCCCATTTTTGTTAGAAACATTGGGAGGATTCCTGAATCTAATCAACATAGCTTATTGATGCAAACAGTGAATATTTCCTTTGCTTTTTTTTTTTTTTTTTACAAAAGTTGTTTAACACATCCTATTATGATTTGTCACAATGTCACCATATTACATACATACCATGCCACTTTCCCTTGTAGACTGTTCCAAATGATCCAGATCCAATTCTTTGTCCCACTGTAATCTGCCCATCAGGAATCTCCCAATCATCACTCGAGTCCCGTCTACCAAGTGTTTTCTTGATAAAAATAGTACAAAAATCAAGTCAAACCAAACAAAAAAGAAAAACTTGTTTCACCCTAAGTACACTACCTTATGCCTGATAGGAATATAGGAAGAGATACCCTTAAAAAAAACAACATTCTGGAGGAACAATAGTTAAAAGTCTGACTCTTAAAATAGAAAACTTAAATTTAAGATTGAAGTCAGTACTAGTTTGGAAACAATTTATTAAAAAATAGAAATTATTTATGGGGTATGAACAGGAATGTATATTACTGAAATAAGTAAAATGTTTTTATCATCTGGAAGACTTTAAGGAGCAAGTTAAGTGCTGCTACATTTGTAAATAATTTTGACTCCAAATCACAAAAAATTTAAGTTAACCTATGGTAACTATTCACAATTTATCTAAGTACTCTTTTTCAATCCGTGCTAAACGTCTTCATGTGTCTTATTTAATTCAGTCTTTATAAAAAAAAAATCAACCTATAAAATTACTTTGGTAGGCTAAAAGATCCACTTATTCAACAATTAGTAGCAATACTGTGGCTAAAAACTATTCATTTTTTAATTTAATTTTTTATTTTACTTTAAATTCTGGGATACATGTGCAGAACATGCAGGTCTGTTACACAGGTGTACATGTGCCATGGTGAATTCATTTTGCAGCAGAAGGGAAGAATGTCTTTCAGTAGATATCTGAATTCTGGTGTAGCTTTTTCATGCCTTCTAATACTAGCTTTCTCTCTAACAACACTACTGTTACTCTTCCAAAACTGTCTTTTACTAAATTATATTACAGATGAGAGCAAAAAGCAGTCCTGTGGAAATATGCTTTAAGCAAAAAACTATCAGCTTTTAAATTTATTTGATTATGGGAATTCTGTGTCACATATGGACATAACATATCTAAAGGATAATATTACATTTGGCTATGACTTCTAAGAAGAAAGAACCTAGAGAAAAAAAGATATCATATACTCTCACCATTCGATTCCTATCTTCTGAGGATGAAGATGACTTCCTTTCTCGCTGAGGTCCTGGAGATTTCTGTAAGGCTTTCACGTTAGTGAGTGAGCCAGGTAATGAGGCAGGAGGTGTGGCAGACAAACCTGTGGTTGATCCTAAATTAGTGAAAAGAAAAATGTATCCATTAAGGAGGAGCAAGTATGTTAATTTATAAGGGGCAGAAGGTGGGGGATATTTAGACTTAATTTTAAATTCTACTGCATGTTTAAATATAGACCTTTTGGAAAGGATAGGCCAAAATGGGATCTCATCTGGTGATTAGAACTATAATTTCTTTTAGTTTTCTGGCCAATTTAATGACCTTTAAGATATCTGATGATAGACACATACTTTGTTTACTGGTACAAAGTCTAGAAGAAAAACGGTCTCTCTAAAACAAGAGAAAAATACCAAAAAAAACCTCCCAAGTTTCTTTGATTAAAAAAATAAAAAAGCAAAATCAATGTAAAAACCTATATAAGTAAACTTTTAATTAATTATTTAATATTACCTCAACAGCCAATCAATACTAAAAAAACCGAAACCCAAATGAAAACATTTTCTAATAATGGCCATAATGTTGAAAATATCTGGCTTATTCATGAACCACTAAATTCAAATACAATCCTAAACTACGTGCTCTACTGTTTAAGAGATACTGGTCAGTATCATTGGTTCCTGGAGGCTTACACTATTAAACAAAGATTATTTGTTACCTACAAAACAAAGTTAACGTAAATAAGGCCAAGCATATTTCTCAAGACTTTCTGAAAAATCTCTGCCTTTGTAAGTGAGAGCTTTGTAAGTAAGTGGAATAGCCTCTCAGCCAAGTTACTATAAATACAAATATTCTACAGGTTGAGTGAGCCTGAGGAGTATACTCTTTGGAAGTGATCTCAGTTGGCAAGGTTGCATACCTTTCTCATGGCAAACATCCTTAGTTAAGGTATACAGTAGTAGCACCTGGTTCAGGACAGTGACTCTTACTGAGGCCTGAGTACAGCTGAGTAGGACTGAGATGTCCAGGTAATCGTTCTATACACAGAACAACAAAATGACCTCAAGAAAATGTTTTAAAAAAATAATTGCTACTCTTAAGGAAAAAAAGGGCTACTATCTTCTATTTTTCAGCTAACAAGGGTACCAATAACCACATTTAAATGTTAAATCTGTAGAAAATTTTTTACCATTATTACATCATATTGTATCACCATGTGGAATTTTCATGATCTCATATGCAATTTTCTGAATGGTACCCAGAATATCTATTAAGTAGAACACAACCCATTTTCTACCTTCCATTGATAATTTTCAACATTATAAAGCCTTATGAGGCTTCACAGTTATGATCTACTAGGTAGTTTTATTGTATTACTTAATTTAATTGTATTACTCACTACTGTATGACCTCCATCCCATTCTATGGATTTTCTGAGAAACAGCACGGCTGACAGAGCAAAAATCTAAGGCATCATTACTACATTCAGAATAAATAACAGATACTAGCTAGCAAGAGTCAGTAATTATAAACCTTTAAAAATATTTATAGCAAGACATTTGTCCCAATTTTGACTTAGGTTTTTTTTTTTTTTTTTTTTTTTTTTTTTTTTTAATTTTTTTTTTTTTTTTTTTTTTTTTTTTTTTTTTTTTTTGAGACAGAGTCTCACTAGGTCACCAGGCTGGAGTGCAGTGGTGCAATCTTGGCTCACTGCAACCTCTGCCTCCCAGGTTCAAGCAATTCTCCAGCCTCAGCCTCCCAAGGAGCTGGGATTACAGGCACCCACCACCATGCCCAGCTAATTTTTTTTTTTTTTTGTATTTTTGTAGAGATGGGGTTTCACCACGTGGGCCAGGCTGGTCTTGAACTCCTGACCTCAGGTGATCTGCCCACCTCGGCCTCCCAAAGTGCTAGGATTATGGGTGTGAGTCACTGCGCCCGGCCTGACTTAAGTTTTTATAAATCAGTTTAACCACTAAATAAAACATGGCAAGATGAAATGGGAGAATGACATTATACTGTAAACTTTCTTCTATTAGGACATAATTAAAGGATAAATCCTCAAATTTCTGAAGTATACCAAAATATCTAAAATATGTTATAAACTTTTTTTTTTTTTTTAACAGCTTTGACAAAAATATACACATCCCATATTGGGGGAAAGAAAAACCCAAAAAACACTGCTGGTATTACAGAATCTCAAAAAAGGCCAAAAGCCTAATAAAATCTCATAATAGAAGTTTCCATTGACATTTTAATTTTTTAAAAAATCACAAAAATTATTAACAAATATTGTCATCAAGAATAATCACTTAAATGCATTAAAATCAAAGGAATCCAGTAAGATCTTCCCCACCCACCTTATTTATTCCCACCCACTAAGTTTAAGAAATTATCAAGACCAAGAAGTAATAAAATAACAAAAAACAAGATGGAAATCTCAGGTCAGTATTTTCTTGTTTTAAAAAATTTATGACAGACAGCATACAGAAAGCTTGTGGCAGTGAGTATGTGTGAGAAGCACATTCAGAGCATTCCAGCCAGGCCAAGCAGAAATTTAGTACTGAAAACTTTCACACTTACAAACACACGCTGTGAGGGTGAGGCATAAAAAGCATCTGTAGTTTTATATTTAGTTTGCTTTGGGTGAAAACAAGAAAGAAGAGCCCAACTACCTCTGAACACTGGGCCAGGCTCAAAATCAAACACTATTTCACTGGGGACAGAATGTAGGAGGGGACTGGGAGTCCGGGATTGGTATTTCCGAAGACAGCGCATCAGCTGGTTCAAAGGGGCTGTTAGAAGAGAAAGAGAGGGGCAGGCAAACACAGGAAGACAGACACACAGAAGAAATGAAAGAAGTCATGGGGAATAAACAAGATGAATCGAAGCCTGCTTCATAAAATAATTCTGGACCAAAAAAATCTGCTCATTTTCACAAAATCCCAATGATTTTTTTTTTTAAAAGTGACTCATGAAAAGGACAAGAAATGCCACTTGATTTTAGGTACTAAGCAGGCTGTCTTTAGGACTAAGTTAATTTTGTGATGCTAACATGATGGCAACATTTAAATGCTGGATGTATTAGGAGGCAAAATTATCAAAAGCCACAGCTATTAAGACATATGAAAGTCAAACTGGCAGCAACATTAATTGGCAGGTTCATGAAAAAACAAACAGGAAAAAAAAGCTGTGTAACTATGTGCTATCATCAATACCAAGTCCAGAGCATAGAATGCAGGGCTTATTATTATTTTGGTTGCTTCACGGGTATACAGAAACATAACAAAAGAAGGTTTATAACAATGTTTACTCAATATAAAATATTGTTGAGTCTGGGCTTAGATATTTTGAAGATAAAGAAGGTTACAGTTAAGAGATCAACTCTAAGCATGATAAGCAGTTATTACATGTCTTCCTTACTAGACAGAAGACAGCAGATAAGGTAAGTATAAAGGACCTCCTAAGAAAACTTCAAGATAGTCTCAAATTATCACCTCTTATAAGAGGGCAAATGGGCTTTGCCATTATGGATCTGTTCTATAAAATGTACATTTAAAACACTTCCAGAAAGTTGAAAGGAAGTGGTTGATAATGTCTCACAAACCCCTCTTCAGAATGACTTAGCAAAGTAAAGTTTTATCTGATTCTAAGCTCAGTCTTTAAGTATCAGTGGAGCCTCACAAAGGAAATTTATCAACAATACCTTTGGAGATGGTTAGAAGGATCTCTCCTTGGTAAGATATTTTAAAACTGTAGTCTATGGCCGTACCATCCTGAGGGTACCCAATCTTGTCTGAGATCAGAAGATATTTTAAAATGTAGATAGTACACTTAAGACTTCCTTTTATGTCCATCTTCTCTACTCATGTTATAAATCAGTTAACATTTTATTAAAGATAAATGACAAATACTATAGAAAAACAAAAAAATTTTGGGTTTCTCTACACATTTTTCTCTGTGTCTGTGTTTCATGAAAGAGGCAAGTATAAAGGAGATAAGCAACAAAAGCAATTGCATTTTTCCCCGACTTTTAAAAGAAAACTGAAATTACTACTTACCTCCATCACCACGAAATCCTTGGTCTCTAATCAAGTCCTACAAATAAATAGTAATGTGTATTTATTCAAAGCATATAGTCAGAAAGTAGTGGTAACACTGAATTTTCCACTAACATTAACAGAATTATTTTAATAATTACAACAACATGTCTTATAACTAGTACATAAAACAATTTGGACTTACCTAGTAAACATAAAATCTAAATTTTGAAGCACTTGCCAATTTAAATCTATAATGAAAGAATTATTAGTCCTAATCAAATCTTGAAATCCATTTCAGGCCATTCAAAACCAATGGCTTCCATTATCCTCAGCAAACTAACACAGGAGCAGAAAACCAAATACCACGTTTCTCACTTTAAGTGGGAGCTGAATGATGAGAACATTTGGACATGTGGAGGGGAACAACACACACTGGGGCCTGTCGGAAGGTGGGTGGTGAAAGGAGCGACAGCATCAGAAAGAATAGCTAATGGATGCTGTGCTTCATACCTAGGTAATGGAATGATCTGTGCAGCAAACTGCCGTGGCCCACATTGACCTATGTAACAAACCTGTACATCCTGCACATGTACCCCTGAACTTTGGCTTCATGAGTCCTTAAGTTTGTTCTTTTTTTTTTGACTGAGTGGCTCTATTGCCCAGGCTGAAGTACAGTGACATGATGTTGGCTTGCTGCAACCTCAGCCTCCTAAGTTCAAGTGATCCTCCTGCCTTAGTGCCATGAGTACCTGCAAACTACAGGCACATGCCACCATGCCCGGCTAATTTTTGTATTTTTTGTAGAGACGGGGTTTCACCATGTTGGCCAGGCTGGTCTCGAACTCCTGACCTCAGGTGATCTATCTACCTTGGCCTTCCAAAGTCCTGGGATTACAGGCATGGGCCACTGTGTCTGGTCACTAAAATTTGTCTTTATTATTAAAATATAGCTCTTTATGGGCCAGGCGTGGTGGCTCATGCCTGTAATCCCAGCACTATGGGAGGCAGGCAGATCACGAGGTCAGGAGTTTGAGACCAGCCTGGCCAACATGGTGAAAACCATCTCTACCAAAAATGCAAAAATCAGCTAGGTATGGTGGCAAACGCCTGTAATCCTAGCTACTCAGGAGGCAAAGGCAGGAGAATTGCTTGAACCCAGGAGACAGAGGTTGCAGTGAGCCGAGATTGTGCCACTATACTGCAGCCTGGGTGACAGAGCAAGACTCTGTCACGGGGGGAAAAAAAAATTATATATATATATATGTGTATATATACTATATATATTTATATATAGTATATAAATATATATTTAATATATAATTATTTATATAATATATATTTTAAAAATATATATATATCTCTTTATAACAATGTTGGTAGCAGGGGCAGTCTCTACTGGTAATGCAATTTGGGCCTTGATAGGTAGAACTTGCATTAGCCTGTTTATTTAGTTTAACTTAAATATGAGGGATTGAATGGCCCCAAATGTCTCTAAGTAGTCTTTGCAAATAGACAACTTTTTGTTTAGAGGCTAAAGCAAATTCCTTAAAGGCTTATTTCTATTATGCTCAATGTATCACATAAAGCCTTCAACATTTTCTACAGAATAATCAAATACATACCTGAAAACAAGGTGGTAGGAGTTATGTGGTTACCAACAAATAAAAATCCTAGTGATGTCATTAAATTTTCCATTCTTGAGAGCTTACAATCTCATTGGAAGTAAGATGCACACAATGGAAGATGGAAGTAAGTGAAAATCAAATAATTTAAGAATAACTGCATAAGAATACAATAAAAGAGATGCCAAAGTTTGTTGCTTAGTTGATTAGCAACTAAGTGATATGGGTGATAAGATTTTTAGGGCTATGTATGATAACTATAGGACTTGGTCACTAGTAAAGCAGTCAAAGAATTACTCTGACTTGGGGTTTGAGAGACAGATAGGCATGTAGAAAGGCAAAGCAGTCTTAGATGGAAGGAATTACAGGAGAAAGGCCATATCCCTTTCTTTGTTGTTGTATCAGCTCTGAAATTCCCTACAAGTATGGATTAAAAAAATTTTGCTTTCTCCACTCTCATAAGTTACCGCTGGTAACAAGACAAACTTAAGATTCTTCAATTTCGAATGTGTTCTTAAAGCCCCTTGACAATCTTTTCTACTCATTCTAGGTTACGAAAGTTCTTTTAGCATTTGAAAACTGGATATTTCAAACTTTTTTTCCACTCTTTTGTAGTTCCTTCTCTTACTTATATCCCTTCCCTTCATCATAATAGAGAAAACAGAAGCCATCAAACAACTTTCCTACTCTAACATCTATATTTACATATTAATATTAGTTATAATTTCTGAATTCTTATTATATACCAGGCATAAGCAATTCAAACCAGTATAGAAGGTAGATACTACTAGCCCCAGTGTTAAATAATTTGACTAACATCATACAGTCTTTAAACAGTTACAGAGCAAGCTATGTCCATCTTTAATTCTTCACAGTCTCTGAGAGAATTTCCAAGTTCAAGGAATTTTATTACATCAATTATTCTTTCTTTTGTTATCTTCAACTTCTCTTCACTGGCTTTTTCCTCTCCAGTTGCAATATAAACTAATGTCTGTTACATTAAAAACAACTATTCCTTGGCTGGGCGCAGTGGCTCACGCCTATAATCCCAACACTTTGGGAGGCTGAGGCTGGTGAATCACTTGAGGTCAAGAGTTCAGGACCAGCCTGGCCAACATGGCAAAACTCCGTCCCTACTAAAAATACAAAAATTGGCTGGGTGTGGTGGTTCACGTCAGCAATCCCAGCACTTTGGGAGGCTGAGGCGGGTGGATCACCTGAGGTCAGGAGTTTAAGACCAGCCTGACCAACATGGAGAAACCCCGTCTCTACCAAAAATGCAAAATCAGCTGGGTGTGGTGGTGTATGCTTGTAATCCCAGCTACTGGGGAGGCTGAGGCAGGAGAATTGCTTGAACCAGGGTGGTGGAGATTGCAGTAAGCCGAGATCGTGTCATTGCAACAAAAGCAAAACTCCATTAAAAAAAAAAAAAAAATTAGCTAGGCGTAATGGCAGGAGCCTGTCATCCCAGCTACTCGGAGGTTGAGGCAGGAGAACTGCTTGAACCTGGGAGGTGGAGGTTGCAGTGAGCAGAGACTGTATCACTGCATTTCAGCCTGAGTGACAGAGCGAGACTCTGTCTCAAACAACAAACAAACAGACAAACAAAAAACAAAACCAAAAAACAGCAAAAAAAAAAAATTGTACCTCAACCCTGCATCAAGTTATCCTCTTCTGTCACTCCTTTACAGCCAAGCTTCTCAAAATTAACACTTAATCCTACTTCCTCACTTGCTGCTTTCTCCTCTTACTGGTCCTCTAAAACAGCTCTCAGTGAAGTAAAGATGACACTTCAATTGCCAAACTTAATAGTGATTTTAGTCTTTATTTCATTTGAATCTTTTCTTTTTTTATTTTTTTGAGACGGAGTCTGGCTCTGTGTCAGGCTACAGTGCCATGACACTATCTCGGCTCACTGCAATCTCTGCCTCCCGGGTTCAAGCGATTCTCCTGCCTCAGCTTCCTGAGTAGCTGAGACTACAGGCACAGGCCACCACACCCGGCTAATTTTTGTATTTTCAGTAGAGACGGGGTTTTACCATGTTGGCCAGGATGGTCTCCATCTCTTGACTCATTTGAATCTTAATGGTGACTGTTACCAACTACTTCAGTATTCTTGAAATCCCTTTTCTCCCTTTGGCTTCTGCAAAACTTTTTCTTAGTTACCTGGAGCTGTCGATTTAGGAAGAGCCAGGCCATAAAGGAGACAGAGAGTCTCTGCCTGCACCTCCAATGTTAATGTTCATCAGGGTTGCATTTTCTCCCCTTTTCAATTTACGTATGCTCTTTGAGAAATTTACATCCAAGGCTTTAACGGACATAAACATGCTAATTACTCCTAAATCTGTGTCTCTACTCAAAATTCTTTATCCAACTGCTATTAGATTTCTAAACCTGAAAGTCCCACAGGCATCTTAAAGTCAACATATCCCCTCAAAAAGCTAAAATTTTTGCTTCTGCAAACCTTGTTTTCCTGTAGCATTTTCTTTCTTAACAAATGGTGCTATTTACCAGAAACCTGGTCTATAAGTTAAGTATCTATAAGCCAGAAACCTGGTATTATCCTCTACTTCTCGTGTTTTTCACTCCTCTCCTCTACTACAGAACAGTATAGTAGTTACGAAAGAAAGGCCAGGTTTGAAACCCACTTCAATAATTTATCAGCAGTGTAATCTTGGGCGTATTTCTTAACCTCTGTAAATCTAATTTTCTTAACAGTAAAATAAAGATAATAGTACATAACCTATGAGTTTTTATGAGGATGGAATAAGAAAGTCTATGTAAAGCACTTAGCATAGTACCTGACATATAATAAGTACTCATCAACTGTAGCCATCTTCAACATGATTCCTAAGACTCTTACCACTAATTCATTAATTCATAGTCTCCCTTCCCCCAACATTCTCTCTCAGCACCCAATGCCATTACTTGAGTTTAAACCATTATCTTTTCTTGTCTGAAATACTGCAAAAGCCACATTATTGACAGTTCTGCCTCTATGTTTTCCGTTTTATCTATCCTCCATACTACCATCAAAGATTTTTCTAGAATATAGAGCTGATTACTTTCTCTCACACAAAATTTTTCAGATTCCCTAGCACTACTTTAGAGATTTTAGAGTAACACACGAAGCCTTTCACTGTAGATTTTACCTACCTTGTTTCACCTTCCACCATTCCCCAAGCCTTCACCCGAACCTAACACTTTAGTATCAACGATTAATTACATTCCATGTAAAGGTACTTCAATGCCTTTGCACATACTATTTCCTTAACAAATGACTTTCCTAACTCCCCTATCTACTGTACTCTTACTTATTCATCATAATCTGGCTTAAATGTTGTTCCTTCTCTGCTCCATATTTCTAGGTCCAACCAGATAAGAGTTTCTTATACCCTTCTCTAAACTGACTTTAAATGTTTTGTAATTATCTATTTAAATGTTTGATTCAACTATTAGATTGTGACTCCCTTGAGGGCAAAGGCTGTGTGCTAATTCATAAATAATTCCCAATTGCCTAACACAATGCATAGCCCAGAGTTATTAGTAAATCTTTTTAATGGAATAATAAGTGACTGAGCATGAATGAAAATGCTACAGTTTCAACTCTTATCTTGTAATCAATGGTAAGTCACTGAAAGTTTTGGAACAAGAGAACAAATGATGCTAGAGGTGTAAAAAAAATTATTCTGACAGTTGCAGAAAGATTGGAAATGGATAGAGAGAAATCAACAGCAGAAAATCCATTTAGGAGATTAATGTAGTATATAATTCAAGTGAAAAAATATGGTTCCAAATGGTGGCAGTAATAAGTAAAAGCCAGTTTCAGATGCACATAAAAAGGTGGTATCTTATGATTGGTTATGGGAGAGGATGAAAAGGCAAGATATAAAGATGACACTCCAAATGAAGCCCAACAGAGCAGGGAACAGTGGTAACAATCAGAGAAAAAGGGAATAGTCTAAAAGGATGATAGTTTTCAAAGTAAAAATGAAGGTTGCATTTTGGACAGACTGAGAAAAGCCCTAACCCGGACATATGGTTTGATTTCTTATTTCACACTCTCCTTTTCCCCATGTATTTTCCTCTTCTACTCCTTTCTTCCTTTGTTTTTAGGTCTTGCTAGAGGTAAACCTTACTAGTTGAGTTAAACTAGTACTGGAAAAATTACTTAAAATGAACCCAATAAAAATAGAGAAAAGTTTCTTACTAAAAAGTGAGAAGAAAGTCTGATTTGCAAATATATCTTACATAACAAAAATTTTATAATAGTTTTTCTTTTATATTAATATTTAATAAAATTTATAGTTCCAACTATATGCTAATTTAAAAATAAACACAGAAAAAATCAAGTTTTTGTTGGTCATAATGCCAAGCTTATAGCACAGATTGAAATTCTTTTTTTTTTGAGACAGGTCTCACTCTGTTGCTCAGGCTGGAGTGCAATGGTACACTCACAGCTCACTGCAACCTTGACCTCCTGGGCTCAAGAAATCCTCCCACCTCAGCCTCCTGAGTAGCTGGGACTACAGGCATGCCTCATCATGAATGGCTAATTTTCTTTTTTTTGGGTAGACATGGGGCCTCACTATGTTGCCTAGGCTGGTCTCTTAACTTCTGGGTCAAGCATTCCTCTCATCTTGGCCTCCCAAAGTGTTGGGATTACAGGAATGAGCCACCATGCCTGGCCTGAAATTCTGAATTTCATATTCATCTCTTATAGCACAATCATAATCATTTTTATAAAAGTTTTAAAGGACTTTATCAATTCCACCAAGGGCTTCTATCAGTCCTTTGATATTTAAACCATTTTCATTTGAAGATGACTTTTCCAGAGATGATATCATAAGGCAAAAAAAATCAGAGTAATTCTATAACTTGGTGCCAGTAAAGTATTTAATGCCATCAGAGATAACAGAAGGCTTTTCTGATTTGTGATTCACAAGAAGCTTATCACTTAAAATAAATGTGATAAACGAAAAATGGCACTAATTTTTGATCTCAGTCATAATTATAGCAGAAAAATAAACATATGTACTTGATTTTTAGTTCTACAATGCTGGATACTTACATCAATATTGACAGGTTCTATTGTGTTTATATGCACATTGGGAGCTGATGAGGACCGGTCTCGTTGCCCAAATTGATTTCGATGATCTTCATCTGCTGGTCGGAAGGGCTGTGGAATTGGAATGGATTTTGAAGGAGACGGACTGGTGAGAATTTGGGGCCTGGAAAAAGGAAGTCATTGGAAGATAAGATTCAGAGTAACTATATAAAGGTAATAATATTTAAAAAGGAAGATAAAAGGATATTCTTGTTTTTATATTCTCAAAATTGTTAAAGCATTAAAAACCTAGCAGTAATGACTTTTAAAAGTGCTATTTTAAAAATCCAATACATGCCTCAACTAAGACTGCCAAAGCTGCTTTGCTCAAGCAGACCCTCCAGGAACTATTAATGATAAGAACACTGATTCTTACCCAGAAAACACTAGGGAAATTTATAAATGGCTAGAAATTACCTGTGGCTGTCAACTGAAGAAGTTCATTAAGTTATATAAAAATGCTCTGAGACTGACTGAATATAATTTGCCATTTTTTTCTAACTTTGTCTTGACATCTGAATTTACTAAAGTGAAAATTTTACATATTAAGAAATTATAAATATTTTGAGAACACACATGCATGTTTCAGGACCTGAATAATGTACTTGTTCCTTTACAGGAGTTGAGTGAAAATCCAAAACAATATTGAAAAATCCTTTCTGAATTCGGAAGATGATCCTCAGAGTGCCAATATCTCTCATATTCTGGATTTTTATCATGTACATTACTGATACCAGAGGCACAAGAGAATCACACATTAACCATTGAAGCAAATACTTTTAAAAACTGCTATTTGAAAACCCGCCAAAATATGTTACAGGGTGACCTATTTCGGTATGGTAGCTAAATAACATAGCCTATGATATCTTACCCTAAAATAAACCTGGCATTCACAGAGAACACTAAAGTTTTGAGAATAGATTGTAAACACTTGGAAGGATTCTAGCCCCTCAAAAAGGGTATCAGGAGTGGGGAAGTGAGTGTCACTTGACAGATGAGGTAAGCTGTCTCACTTAACTCCATCAGGACCAATGAATGGCTAAGTGCTAATAAACTCTCTTCACACACTGGCTATTATTCCACCCCATTTTATGCAAATGCTCTAATTATTATTATATACAGCATTATTTAGTGACACAGCTGGAAGGACAATGTTGAGGGAATAAAAAGACACTGTGAGAGGAGAGGAGTGGGAAAAAAAATATAGCAGGAAAGGAATGGATAAAGGTTTGAAGAGCAAAAGAAGCCAAATAGTGAAAGTCAGCCTCTGAATAAAACATGCCAGAATCTGAATCACACCAGTTCACAATTTTACTTCTTTGAAGCACATTATTAAAGATGGGGAAAGAAGTTTTGACTTCATGTGTTTATATTAATGAAATGAATCTGCTTAGAATTGATATGCAAATAATAAAATAGTATGTACTTAAAAAAAAATTGGTAACGGCTCAATGAGAATTACAGGGAAGGAACACGCCTTTAGGAAAATTTGTTCCACCTACGTCCTTTTTATTTTTTCTGATTATTGAGAAATTTTGGGTTTGTGACAGAGCTGTCTTTATTTTTGCTTTAGGCAGTCAAACATATGTCTACTGCTAGAAAATTTTAGCAGAAAAAAGAGTGCAAAAATGACATTAGTCAATAAAATTTTAGAAAGGGCACTCACTGACTGTCAGACAGCTATTTACAGGCTGATTTAAAGTCTCAAAGCAGTCCGGGTACGGTGGCTCCTGCCTGTAATCCCAGCACTTTTGGAGGCCGAAGCAGGTGGATTACCTGGGGTCAGGAGTTTGAGATTAGCCTGGCCAACATGGCGAAACCCCGTCTCTACAAAAAAATACAAAAAATAGCTGGGTGTGGTGGTGAGGGCCTGTAATCCCAGCTACTCAGGAGGCTGAGGCACAAGAATCACTTGAACCCAGGAGGCAGAGGTTGCAGTGAGCTAAGATCATGTCTCTGCACTTGCCTGGGTGACAAAGGGAGGCTCCCATCTCAAA